TATGTGTCCAGTCTTGATCATTTCTTAATTTAAGTAGCAAGTCTTGCTCACGCCGTAATATGTGTTCAGTCTTGGTCATTGCCTTAATTTGAGTGGCCAGTCTTGGTCACTTTTTAATTTGAGTTCCTAGTCTTGGTCACGCATAAATTTGTGTGTCCAGTCTTGTTCATTGCCTTAATTTGAGTGTCGAGAGTTGGTCACGCCTTAATTTGTGTCCAGTCTCGGTCACTCCTTAATTTAAGTGGCCAGTTTTGGTCATTGTCTTAATTTGAGTGTCCAGTCTTGCTCATTGTCTTAATTTGAGTGTCCAGTCATGGTCTTTGACTTAATTTGAGTGTCCAGTTATGGTCATTGACTTTATTTGAGTGTCCAGTCTTGGTCACGCCTTAATTTATGTGCCCAGTCTTGATCATTCCTTAATTTGAGTGGCCAGTCTTGGTCATACCTTAATTTGAGTGGCCAGTCTTGGTCATACCTTAATTTGAGTGTCCAGTCTTGGTCACGCCTTAATTTATGTGTCCAGTCTTAATCATGCCTTAATTTGGTGTCTAGTCTTTGTGCCTTAATTTATGTGTCCAGTCTTGATCATTCCTTAATTTGGTGGCCAGTCTTGGTCACGCCTTAATTTGTGTCCAGTCTCGGTCACTCCTTAATTTTGGCCAGTTTTGGTCACTCCTTAATTTGAGTGTCCAGTCCAGGTCATTCCTTAATTTGAATGTCCAGTCTTAGTCACGCCTTAATTTATGTGCCCAGTCTTGAGTCCTTAATTTTTATCAGTCTTGGTCTTAATTTGATTGGCCAGTTTTGGTCACTCCTTAATTTATGTGTCAAATCTTGATCATTTCTTAATTTCATAGCCAGTCTTGCTCACGCCGTAATATGTGTTCAGTCTTGGTCAGTTTGAGTGTCCAGTCTTGGTCATTGCCTTAATTTTGCAAGTTTTTTGTCACACCTTAATTTATGTGTCCAGTCTTGGTCATCTTAATTTGAGTGCCCAGTCTTTTTGCCTTAATTTGAGTGTCCTGTCTTAATTTATGTGTCCAGTCTTGATCATTCTTTAATTTGAGTGGCCAGTCTTGGTCACGCCTTTAATTTGTGTCCAGTCTCGGTCCTTAATTTTCAGTTTTGGTCACTCCTTAATTTGAGTGTCCAGTCCAGGTCATTCCTTAATTTGGTCAGTCCAGGTCATTCCTTAATTTGAATGTCCAGTCTTAGTCACGCTTTTTTAATTTATGTGCCCAGTCTTGATCACTCCTTAATTTTTTATGGCCAGTCTTGGTCACGCCTTAATTTGTGTCAGTCTTGTCTTAATTTGAGTGTCCAGTCTTGGTCACTTCCTTAATTTGATTGGCCAGTTTTGGTCACTTAATTTATGTGTCCAGTCTTGTCATTTCTTAATTTAAGTAGCAAGTCTTGCTCACGCCGTAATATGTTCAGTCTTGGTCATTGCCTTAATTTTGGAGTCTTGGTCACTTTTTAATTTGAGTTCCTAGTCTTGGTCACGCATAAATTTTGTGTCCAGTCTTGTTCATTGCCTTAATTTGAGTGTCGAGAGTTGGTAATTTTGGTCAGTCTCGGTCACTCCCTTAATTTAAGTGGCCAGTTTTGGTCATTGTCTTAATTTGAGTGTCCAGTCTTGATCATTGTCTTAATTTGAGTGTCCAGTCTTGGTCTTTGACTTAATTTGAGTGTCAGTTATGGTCATTGACTTTATTTGAGTGTCCAGTCTTGGTCACGCCTTTAATTTATGTGCCCAGTCTTGATCATTCCTTAATTTGAGTGGCCAGTCTTGGTCATACCTTAATTTGAGTGTCCAGTCTTGGCAATTGCCTTAATTTGAGTGTCCAGTCTTGGTCACGCCTTAATTTATGTGTCCAGTCTTAATCATGCCTTAATTTGAGTGTCTAGTCTTTGTCACGCCTTAATTTATGTGTCCAGTCTTGATCATTCCTTAATTTGAGTGGCCAGTCTTGGTCACGCCTTAATTTGTGTCCAGTCTCGGTCACTCCTTAATTTAAGTGGCCAGTTTTGGTCACTCCTTAATTTGAGTGTCCAGTCCAGGTCATTCCTTAATTTGAATGTCCAGTCTTAGTCACGCCTTAATTTATGTGCCCAGTCTTGATCACTCCTTAATTTTTATGGCCAGTCTTGGTCACGCCTTAATTTGATTGGCCAGTTTTGGTCACTCCTTAATTTATGTGTCAAATCTTGATCATTTCTTAATTTAAGTAGCCAGTCTTGCTCACGCCGTAATATGTGTTCAGTCTTGGTCATTGCCTTAATTTGAGTGTCCAGTCTTGGTCATTGCCTTAATTTGAGTGTCCAGTTTTGGTCACTTTTTAATGAGTGGCCAGTCTTGGTCACTCTTTAATTTGAGTTCCCAGTCTTGGTCACGCATAAATTTGTGTGTCCAGTCTTGTTCATTGCCTTAATTTGAGTGTCCAATCATGGTCATTGCCTTAATTTGTGTGTCCAGTCTTGGTCACGCCTTAATTTGAGTGGCCAGCTTTGGTTACGCCTAAATTTGAGTGGTCAGTCTTGGTCACGCTTTTATTTGTGTTCAGTCTTGGTCATTGCCTTAATTTATGTTTCCAGTCTTGATCATTCCTTAGTTTGAGTGGCCAATCTTGGTCACGCCTTAATTTGTGTCCCGTCTTGGTCATGCCTTAATTTGAGTGTCCAGTCTTGGTAATTGCCTTAATTTAAGTGGCTAGTCTTGCTCACTTCTTAATTTATGTTTCCAGTCTTGATCATTCTTTAATTTGAGTTGCCAGTCTTGGTCACGCCTTAATCTGTCTCCAGTCTTGTTCATTGCCTTAATTTGAGTGTCCAGTCTTGGTCACTCCTTAATTTGAGTGGCCAGTTTAGCTCACTCCTTAATTTATGTGTCCAGTCTTGGTCATGCCTTAATTTGAGTGGCTAGTCTTGCTCACTCCTTAATTTATGTTTCCAGTCTTGATCATTCTTTAATTTGAGTGTCCAGTCTTTGTCACTCCTTAATTTGAGTGGCCAGTATTGGTCAGGCCTTAATTTATGTGTCCAGTCTTGGTCATGGCTTAATTTGAATGTCCAGTGTTGGTCACGCCTTAATTTATGTGCCCAGTCTTGATCATTCCTTACTTTGTGTGGCCTGTCTTGGTCATTGCCTTAATTTATTTGTCCAGTCTTGGCCACTCCTTAATTTATGTGCCAAGTCTTGATCATTCCTTAATTTGAGTGTCCAGTCTTGGTCACTCCTTAATTTGTGTCCAGTCTTGGTCATTGCCTTAATTTGAGTGTCCAGTCTTGGTCACTCCTTAATTTGAGTGCCCAGTCTTGGTCACGCTTTAATTTATGTGTTCAGTCTTGATCATTGCCTTCATTTATGTGTCCAGTCTTGGTCACGCCTTAATTTGAGTGTTCAGTTTTGGTCATTGCCTTAATTTGAGTGCCCAGTCTTGGTCACTCCTTAATTTGAGTGGCCAGTCTTGGTCACGCTTTAATTTATGTACCCAGTCTTGATCATTCCTTAATTTGTGTGGCCAGTCTTGGTAATTGCCTTAATTTAAGTGGCTAGTCTTGCTCACTTCTTAATTTATGTTTCCAGTCTTGATCATTCTTTAATTTGAGTTGCCAGTCTTGGTCACGCCTTAATCTGTCTCCAGTCTTGTTCATTGCCTTAATTTGAGTGTCCAGTCTTGGTCACTCCTTAATTTGAGTGGCCAGTTTAGCTCACTCCTTAATTTATGTGTCCAGTCTTGGTCATGCCTTAATTTGAGTGGCTAGTCTTGCTCACTCCTTAATTTATGTTTCCAGTCTTGATCATTCATTAATTTGAGTGTCCAGTCTTGGTCACTCCTTAATTTGAATGTCCAGTGTTGGTCACGCCTTTAATTTTGCCCAGTCTTGATCATTCCTTAATTTGAATGGCCTGTCTTGGTCATTGCCTTAATTTATTTGTCCAGTCTTGATCATTCCTTAATTTATGTGCCAAGTCTTGATCATTCCTTAATTTGAGTGTCAGTCTTGGTCCTTAATTTGTGTCCAGTCTTGGTCATTTAATTTATGTGTCCAGTCTTGGTCTGTCTTGCAAGCTTTAATTTATGTGTTCAGTCTTGATCATTGCCTTCATTTTGTGTCAGTCTTGGTCACGCCTTAATTTGAGTGTTCAGTTTTGGTCATTGCCTTAATTTGAGTGCCCAGTCTTGGTCACTCCTTAATTTGAGTGCCAGTCTTGGTCACTTTTTAATTTATGTACCCAGTCTTGATCATTCCTTAATTTGTTCAGTCTTGGTAATTGGTCTTAATTTGAGTCTTGCTCCTTCTTAATTTATGTTTCCAGTCTTGATCCAGTCTTGGTCACGCCTTAATCTTTCAGTCTTGTTCAGTTTTGGTCATTGTCACTCCTTAATTTGAGTGGCCAGTTTGGTCCTTTAATTTAATTTGAGTGGCCAGTCTTGGTAACTCCTTTAATTTATGTTTCCAGTCTTGATCATTCATTAATTTGTGTGGTCAGTCTTGGTGAGTGGCCGCCTTAATTTGAATGTCCAGTCTTGGTCTTGGTACCCAGTCTTGATCATTCCTTAATTTGAGTGTCCAGTCTTGGTCACGCCTTAATTTATGTGTCCAGTCTTGATCATTGACTTAATTTGAGTGTCAGTCTTGGTAACTCCTTAATTTGAGTGTCCAGTCTTTGTCCCTCCCTTATTTGAGTGCCCAGTCTTGAACACTCCTTAATTCGAGTGTCCAGTCTTGGTCATTCCTTAATTTGTGTGGCTAGTCTTGGTCATACCTTAATTTATGTCCACTCTTGATCATTGCCTTCATTTATGTGTCCAGTCTTGGTCATGCCTTAATTTATGTGTCCAGTCTTGATCATTCCTTAATTTGAGTCGCCACTCTTGGTCACGCTTGATTTGTGTCCAGTTTTGGTCACGCCTTAAATTGAGTGGCCAGTCTTGATCATTCCTTAATTTGAGTGTCCAGTCTTGATCACTCCTTAATTTGAGTATCCAGTCTTTATGACGTTTAGAAAGTAAGAGGAAGTCGAGGCTTAAAAAAAATTGCCATCCTACTTTAGCTGCTCATTAGTTGTCATCAGTATTATCCCTTCAGGCCGTTTTGGAGTCAAAATTTTCCTAGACCGGTTGCCACCCTAGGCAGTCTGGCCTGCTATTTACCCGTTGCTAGGAGAGAAGAAGAGGATTCATACCTTTCTGATACGGCACGTAAGTGAATATAATGAAATTCGAACTCGGCTATCCGATTCCTCAATTCAAGCCGCTATCCATTAGCCCACCGTCTTTTCTGACCGGGAATACAGTCATCTGTCGGGTACTTCCTAGGTATGTAAATGATTCAACAGATTTTATTGCTTCACCCGAAACAGTTTGTCTTGAGCCTTTCTGGTTGAAGACTATGAATTCGTTTTTAGAGACATTGACATCGACTCCAAAATCGTTCACGGCATTTTCTAGATGATGTAGGAGTACTGTAACATTGGTAATGGTGTCTGACGTGATAGCTACGTCATCTGCCTAGTCAATATGTCGGAGCTTCTTTCGAGCCACTGTAGAGGCGCGTTAATGTATGTTGCCACTGCTTGGACATTAACTAAAACCCTTGACTGTAAGCTTGATGGAACCTACACTCGGATGCTAAGAGCTCTATTTAACACCTCTTGGAGACAACATCCAACTAAATCACAGCTTTATGGAGCATCTCTGATATTTCTACAATCTTATGCCAACCCAGAATGCGCTTTGCAGGACACATCTGGCGGGTAAAACAAGAACTCGTCAGTGATCTGCTGCTCTGAACACCTAGCCATGGAGCAAGACGGTTGGCCGCTCAACAATCGCTTACATTGACCAGCTATGTTATGACACAGAATGCCATCATAGTGACCTTCCGATCGTGATACAAGAGCGTGATGGCTGACGTAATAGACTTATCAATGTCCGAGCTAGCTTGACCAAATAAAAACAATAATATTGACTGCAGTCACAGAATTATTTACTTTTTGAACTTCCGTACAAAAACGATTTTCAAAGTTGCACCGAAAAATTCATTTTGATATTGCATAATTGCGAAAATAATATCTTCAGGGATTTTTGTTTATATATCAATAAAAATTCGCGAATAAACGCCCAAATTAAAAAGTACATACACGATATTGGAAATGGGTTGAAACTGATCCCAAATATTTCAACTAAGTTTTCTCATAAAATAACCTATTAACTGCAATTAATTCATCAACGATTGATTGATGGATTTTTATGGTTTATCAACCCATTGATGATTATTTAAAGCCAGAAAATATTTTTTAGATTGTATGAATTTTATTTTTGGAGGTAATGAGGATTTAGTGATACAAGTTTTACTTAACCCATACCTGGGGGGAGGAAAAAGAGGAGGATCCATGCCTAACCAGAATTTGACAAACAAACAAGAAATGCATATGTGGATATAAAGCGAGGGATCAATTCTACATTACAATCAATATATAAACTGATCCCTCACTTTGTAGCGAGTTTCTATACATTTCTATTCCAGAGAATGTAAATAAATCTAAAAGACATGCCTGTGTAGCTAATCAGTATTTCATTGATTGATTGATTCGTTTTCGATGGCTTATCAATAAACAAGAAATTATAATGTGAATATAAAGTGGGGGATCAATTCTATATTTCAATCAATATATAAACGGATCCCTCACTTTGTGACCACGGTAGTTTCTATACATTTCTATTCCAGAGAATGTAAATAAATCTAAAAGACATGCCTGTGTAGCTAATCAGTATTTCATTGATTGATTATTCGCTAATCAGCAAGAAATTATTTGAATTAAATTCATTCATTTTCTAAACGGATTATTTTCCTCAAGTTTTTCCTCCAGAGAATGTAAATTCCATTATTAGCTAATCAGTATTTCATTATTATTCATTTTCCTTTCACCATTCCATTATTACTCGTTCTATTATTTCCTTTCACCATTCCATTATTCCGTATTCCCTAATTTCTCATTCCAGTATACACTTATTATCCATTCTTTTATTCTATTTCCTTATTCTTTAATCCCATTTCTTATTTCTCTATTCCTCAATTCCTAGTCCTAATTCCCGTATTCCTCATTCCTTTATTCTTCAAATCTTTATTCCTTATTCCCTTTCCTCATTCCATTATTCCCTTATTCTTAATTCCTCTATTCCCTTATTGCCAATTCCTTTATACTATTTCCTTATTCCTTATTTCTATTCCTTATTCCTTAATTACTAGTCATCATTCCCTTATTCCTCTTTCTCTTATTCGTTTTCCATTTCTTCATTCACTTATTCCTTATTATTGATTATTCACTTCTTACTCATTCCTTTATTCTATTCCCTTATTCCTTTATCCCTACTTCTTCTATTCCTTAATTCCTAAACATCATTCCCTTTTTCTTCATTTACTTATTAGTTATTCCCTTATTCACTTATTCTCTTATTACACATTCATTTATTCTATTCCTTTATTTCTTATTATCATTCCTTATTCAACAATTCCTAGTCCTCATTCTCTTATTTTCTCATTCTCTTATTCACTTATTTTTCATTCCCTTATTCCTTATTCCCATTCTCTTAATCTTCCCATAATTATTCTTATTCCTTTATTTCTTTATTTATTCCCATTCCTTAATTCTTATCCCCCAATTCCTCGTCCTCATTCCTTTATTCCTCATTCCCTCATTCCAGAATCCCTTTATTCCTTTATTCCTCATTCCAGAATCCCTTTATTCCTTTTTCCTCATTCCTCATTCCAGAATCCCTTTATTCATTCCCTCATTAATCCTTTATTCCTTTATTCCTCATTCCCTCATTCCAGAATCCCTTTATTCCTTTATCCCTCATTCCAGAATCCCTTTATTCCTTTATTCCTCATTCCCTCATTCCAGAATCCCTTTATTCCTTTATTCCTCATTCCCTCATTCCAGAATCCCTTTATTCCTTTATTCCTCATTCCCTCATTCCAGAATCCCTTTATTCCTCATTCCCTCATTCCAGAATTTTTTTTTCTTTGATTCTTAATCTCTTTTTAATACATTCCAAACTTTTTCAGTTTTTTCTTCTTCATTTTTTCATTCTTTCGTTTTTTTTTTTTAATTTTCTTCATTTTCTCGATCTTCATTCCTATTCTTCATTTATTTTTATTTTATTCTTTCGTTTCCCCGCTTTTTCATTCCTGTTTTTTTTTTTACTATTTTTTTTCTGTTTTTACATTCCTCTGTTTTTCATTCTTTTATTGTTTTCGTTTTCTCGTTTTTTTATTTTCTATTTTTTTTTTCTTTCTATTTTTGTCTTATTTTACTTTTTCTCGGTCTTATCTTCACTCTCCCCGTTTATTTTTTCATTTTCTTGTTTTTCATTTTCTATTTTTCTCATTTCGTTATTCTCTTTTTATCTTTCTTTTGTCTTTCTTTATTCTCTCCTTCATTTTTCTAATTTTCTTCTTTTTTCATTTCTTTCTTCTGTCTATTCATTTTTCCTTTCATAATTTTCTTTTTTTCTTTTTTCTTTCTTCATTGCCTTCTTTATTTTCTAATTTTGTTTCTTTTTCTTTCATTTCTTCCTTCTCTCTGTCTTCATTTTTCTTTTTGTAATTTTGTTTTTTAATTTTTATTTCTTCATTTTCTCTTTCATTTTCTAATTTTCTTCCTTTTTTCTTCCTTCCTTCCTTCTCTCTATTTCTTCATTTTCTCGTTTATTCACTTTTTTCCGCTAACCGGCCAGTGTGTTTTTCAACCTTCTTTCTGTTATTTTCTCTCCTTCGTTTTTCGCAACTTACTCTCTCATTTTTGCTGTCATTCTCTCCTTCCTTACTCCTCATTCACTCCTTACTATCGAAATGCATAAAAAGAGAGTGCTCTCCCTTTCTATGCGTTTCCTATCCTTACTCTCCTGTTTTATTGTTCATCTTCACTCTTTACTCTCTCGCGTTATTCATCTCTCTTCTCTTTTCAATTTTTCTGTTTTATTTTCTCTCCTCTCTCTGTCTTCCTTCTCTCTCCTCCACTCACCTTCTCAATTTACTTTTATTCCCTATCTTTCTCTTTTTAATTTCCTTCTCTCGCGCTCTTTCTTATCTTGCTCTCTTCTACTCCTTACTCTCTTTTTTCTGTACTCTCCTTTTTATTTACACGTCTCTACTTTTTCTTCTTATCCTCCTTACTCTCCATTTTATTTTCCTGTCTCTCCTTTTCGTCTTACTTTCCTGTTTATTTACTTTACTCTTCTCTTTCTTATTACTCTTCGTTTTGTTTACCTGGCCATCCTTACTGTGCTTTTTGTTTACCTTACTCTCCTTTTCATCCGAATCTCTTTTTCATCCTTACTCTCTTTTTTATGTGGATCTCTTTTCTCCTTACTCTCCTTTTTGTTTACCTTACTCGCCTTTTATCATTACTCTCCTTTTTGTGTACCTGACTCTCCTTTTTCCCTTACTATCCATGTTACTTACTTTACTCTCCTTTTATATCCTTACTCTCCTTTTTGTTTTACCTGATTCTTCTTTCTCTCCTTTTTTGTTTACGCTACTTTCCTTTTCCCCTCCTTACTCTCCTCGTTGTTTATTTTACTCTCCTTTTTATATCCTTACTCTCCTTCAATCACCACTTGCTCTTTATTTTTCCTCGCCGCTTTTAATCTTTCTTACTTCTTATAATCTATCTTCCGACACCCTTGTTTTTTTCTTTCGTTCCTCTGCCTTTTCTTTTCACACCGATTCCTGCTCTGTTCTGTCCTTACTCTCCACACATCCATCCTTGCTCTCCTCGTTCTCTTTACTCTCCTTAGATAAACCGTTTCTCTCTTTTTCTTCTTAATCTCCTCTTCCTTCCTACTTTCTCTATTGTCAGTTTTGTTTGCCCTTTCATAAAGTTCAATTGACTCTCCTTCCTCTCTTACATTTTTCTTCGTTAGCCTCACCTTACTCTCCCATTTTACCGCTTAATTAGACAATTAGCCGGCCGCGTGGCAATTAAACGTCAAATGCTCCCCAATACAAGAAAAGGATGATTTCACAACAAAAGCTTGAAAACTTCCTCACCAAACGAATCTTCTGCTCAACATTATCGCCTATTGGCCGCAGAGCGTTCGTTTCTCTAATAACATTTTCCAACGACACAAAGGCTGCTAACGGGCAACGGTGTTCTCCTCACGACCGGGTTTCCGACCGTCAATGGCAACCGGACGTCAGCCCGCATTGGGTAACCTCAGGGCAGTAAGGTATTCACACCACAGATACTATTGAACACCGAGGGATCTTTGGCTATTGAGCGAGGAATCTCTCCTGGATTGAGACTGTCATACTTGGTACCTCAGTGTTGTCGTCATTACTTTTAACGCTAAGATATAACGACAAAGGCTAATGCTCTTTAGTGGCGTCATGTAGTCATTTATACCTAAGGGGTATCATAGATTTTACAAGAACATGATAAAGAATCAGCTTCAGAACGTACACGAGTACATAAAAGTAGACAAACGTACGTATACGTGTATAAACGGATACAAAATTACAATAGCGTGCAAATGTATACAAACGTACGCAAAAGTATGCGAGTACACAAAAGTACACATAAGTGCAAAAGTACAGGAAACTACACATGCGTACACAAATGGACAAAGGTACACAAAAGTACACCCATATACATAAACGTAAACAAGTGCACAAACGTACACACAAAAGTACACAAACACACAAGCGTACAAAAAAATGAACTCAAGTACACAAAAGTATACTAACGTACAATGCTACAAAAGTACACAAACGTACACAGAAATACCTAAGATTATGCAAAAATATAAAATACACAAAAGTACAGAAGTACATACGAGTACACAAACGTACACAGGTATACAAACGTATACAAATGCATAATAATACACAGACGTGCACAAGTACATGAAAGTACACAAATGTACACATTTACACAAAATTACACAAGTACATAAAAGTACGCAAATGTACATATTTACACGAACTTATCCAAGTACGTAAAAGTACACAAATGTAAACAAGTACATAAAAGTACAGAAATGTACACATTTACACAACCTTACACAAGTACGTACAAGTACATAAATGTACGCAAATGTACACATTTACACAACCTTACACAAGTCCGTAAAAGTACACAAATGTACACAAGTACATAAAAGTACACAAGTACGTACAAGTACACAAATGTACACAAGTACATAAATGTACACATTTACACAACCTTACACAAGTACGTAAAAGTACACAAATGTACACAGGTACATAAAAGTACACAAATGTACACAATTACACAAACTTGCACAAGTACATAAAAAGTACACAATTATATAAAAGACGCAAAAGTACACAAGTAAACAAACGTACATAAAAATGCCCAAACGTACTCAAAAGTACACAATCATATGCAAAACGTATCCAAGTAAATAAACTTTCATAAAATTACCAAAGTACACAAATTTACAGAAGTACAAAAACGTATCGAGTCAAGATAATCGAGATATTTAATGAACTAATAAAGAATTAATCTTTCTAAAAATGTCAGAAATTCTTTTACTTAAACCTTTTACTGATTAATTTTCTGTATACATGTAAGCAAGTCTGTCGCAAGAATGTTTTGAGTCTGGGGAAAGCGGCTTTTAAGTCGAGGTGTTTTAGGATAAATGTATTTATAGACATTCTAACATTCGGTCTGAGATAATAATGACTGCTTTACAGATTGGAAAACTTTATAAATAAAAAAAAAACATAAATTTGTTTTCTTTTTCTGATAATTAACGAATAAAATATTTTTATTTAACTCCGCTGGCGAGCAAAAGTTTTCGGTCAACTGCATAAAATTATTCTGCACCTTTACAGAGCCGGTGTGTACTAGTTTTGACCCAACACCCTCCCACGACCGGGAGCCTGACTAGGGGGCCTCGGTCAGTGCATTGTGACCCTCGCTATCCCATAAACATTTGCCTTTTTCTACCTACATTACAGATTAAACTAATCATAACTATTAAGGAAAAAAAAATCACGGATTTTAATATAATTCTGGGTCCATTTTTTATTTTCGTCCAAATCCGCGAAGTCTCGAAAAAAAAAAACATTGTTTAAAATTCACTATTTTTATCCAAAATGTTGAATGTTAAAATTATTCAACTTTTTAACAAGAAAAAAAAGCTAAAGTTGATGCTAAAAATTGCTGCAAAATATTGTTACATTATTTAAGAAGAAATGATCTATTATGACAGGTCTCTAATTTTTTTTTAAAAATTAAGATTGTGGGGGTGTATCATAGATTCAGTGGGAGGGGGACACAAGACCACCGGCCTTGAGTCTTTATTTTATTAAGATTGTTCAACAGTATTGTTAGCCTAAAACTTCCTGTTATATCTAACCACTTCAACTGTAAAATAACGTGACCTAACAGCCAATCTAGTACTGCGCTTAAATGAATAAAGTCTAGGCACCAAAGAGGGAAGCTCATCAGAACAATTACCATAAAGATATTTATAGAACTGGCACAAGGAAGCTATGTTACGGCGGTTAGAAAGCGGCTGAAGCCAATGTACCAGGTCAGGACCGATAACATTGCAGATTTTTCTTTAGATTTTATCAAGAACTAGCAGTAGAGCCCGGCGTTGCCCGGGGATGTAAGAGTAAGAGATAGATCAAGTATCGACCATCATAAAGACTGAAAAACAAAATTGACAAAGATTATTGTTTAAGGTTGACGGACACGCATGTCTTAATTAGTTTTTTTTTTTTTTTACGAATTGGTCAAACCCAAATTCAAACAAAAACATTGTTTACAATCGTTATGAGTCTACCGATTGAATAGAATTTTATTATAAACAATTGCCTTGTAAATGGAATTTTTAAAGCATGCTGAATGTAAAAATAAAGAAAAAGGTGTGCAAGACAATAAGAAACACTACCTGCCAAAAAAAAAAAGGTAAGTTTTGTTGAAATCGGTTGAAAAATGTAGGAAATCCGATCCCATATATAAACGAACACACACACATACACACACACACACACACACAACCTGGGGTTTATAATAAGTAAAACTCGATATGAGTTGTCACCCTTTCATTCTGGCGACAGAATTGTGTTTTCAAATTGATTTCGTGCAAAAACAATTGTGTTTTTCCAATTTTTGGCGCTGTCAGAACCACCGACGTAGTCCTGTGAAGTTTTGTTGAAATCGGTTGAAAAATGTAGGAAATCCGATCCAATATATAAACGTACAGACACACACACATACACACACACACAACCTGGGTTTTATAATAAGTATGATTTCTAAATGCATAGCAGAAGCACGATACCAGATGTGATGACAATATTCAATGCATGGACGAATGGTAGCCTAATAAATGTAGAAAACAGATTCTGGCGAGAAAATGCACAACACAGCTAACCAATTTTCCTTGCCGCAGACCTAGCAGTTGATTCAATATAATATTTCCACTTCATGTCAGTGGAGAACGTTAACCTGACAAGGTTCAATGTGTCACTCTTCTAGAGGTTAGCATCAGCCATACAGAAAGGATTCTCTAGGATGATTAAAAGACGGTAGTTTTGTTTTATTTATGCCAACGCGTTTCGTTCCTTGAGGAACATTATCAAGGCAAATTCTGTCTGAATTTCATTATCTGTATTATTTACACGCGGACAAAGATGCGGACAAAAATCCGCGTGTAAATAATTTATCAAAGCAATTGTAGAAAAACAAGAGGAAAAAACTTTATACCAACGCGTTTCGTTCCTTTAGGAATTTTATGAAAGCCAGTGTAGAAAGTTTTATTTAGTAACCTGTATTTATACACAAAAGTAACGTGGGGGAAACGTCATGGGTATGACAATAAACTCCACCCAGCAACAAGACCTATGAGCGGTAGGTTTTAGGGAGCATGAATGTACCTCCTAATTGCCGTTCTTCCTAGGTCCACCCTGACCAGACGTGGTAGCACCTGTCAGTGTCTCAACTATGGGCAAATAGAGAACCCAAAATTGGGGTCAAAACACTATGAAAATATAAAATACATTACCAGCAATAGATTTTAATAGTAAAAAAAAATTCTAGCAATAGATTTTAATAGAAACATTCTATATCTGCCTATATCTCTGAGATGAGGTATTATGATTATTTACATTGTTTACATTATTCGGACTGTTATTCTCATCTTCATTGCCATATTCACAATGTTTCGGTCATTGTACACCCCGGCCTTCTTCAGGCAATTTGAATTTTGAGCAATAGATTTTAAAAGAAAAATACCAAAGCTCCAATGAAAATTAAATTTCGGCATTAAATGACCCATACGGTGTTGATATGCCTTTAAACAAAGTAAGCCAAAGCAACCTTTGGAGAAAAAAGAGAAAGATCTAAAATATTCTAAAAACCTACCGTGTAAGGAAAGGTAAACTATGAAGAACGCTAATGATGTCATTTCTGAATCTATTAAACGAAAGGGGAGTTAATATTGTTCTTGTTATTAATTTTTAGTTTTTATGTAATTATAAATTGTGTGGATGATTGGGAGGAGAGGGATGAGGAGAGATAGCAAAAAGACAAAAATTACTAAAAGCTACAAAGAACAGAAAATTGTGGGAAGCCATGATCGCCCACGATACGGTGTATAGAATGATAATAATAATAATAAGAAGAAGAAGAAGAAGAAAAAGAAGGAGAATAATAAGAAGAAAAGGAAGAAGAAGAAAAAGAAAAAGAAGAAGAAGGAGAAGAAGGATAATAATAATATTAATAATAAGAAGAAAGAGAATAAGAAGAAGAAGAAGAAGAAAAAGAAGACGACAAAGAAAAAGAATGAGGGAGAAGAAGAATAATAATAAGAAGAAGGCGAAGAAGAAGAAAAAGAACAATAATTATAATAAAAAGAAAAAAAATAATAATAATACTAAGAAGAAGAAAAAGAAGGAGAATAATAAGAAGAAGAAGAAGAAAAGGAAGAAGAAGACAAAGAAAAAGAAGAAGGAGAATAATAATAATAATAAGAAGAAGAAGAAGAAGAAAAGGAAGAAGAAGAAAAGGAAGAAGAAGACAAAGAAAAAGAAGAAGGAGAAGAAGGATAATAATAATATTAATAATAAGAAGAAAGAGAATAATAAGAAGAAGAATAAGAAGAAGAAGAAAAAGAAGAAGACAAAGAAAAAGAAGAAGGAGAAGAAGGAGAAAAAGAACAATAATTATAATAAAAAGAAAAATAATAATAATAATACTAAGAAGAAGAAAAAGAATAAGAAGAAATAGAAGAAGAAGGAGATGAAGAAGAAAGAGGATAATAATAATAATAATAAGAAGAAGAAGAAGAAGAAGAAGATGGAAAAGAGGAAGAAGAAAATAAAAACGCAATAGAAGGAGCAGAAGAAGAAAAAGAAGAGGGAAGAGAAGAAGAAGAAACAGCAGCAGTAGTAGTAGTAGAAGAAGAAGAAGAAGAAGAAGAAGAAAATTTAAAAATAATAATGAGTGGTAGTGCTGTGAGGCTTACTTATTATGACACTATCATCTTGTCGGAAATCGTTCGCATTACAATCTTTTATCCGAAATTTCCCAATCTCTTGCTTGTTGTCTTTTGCAGCTGACAACAATGAAACGACAATGAAAAGACAGAAAGAAAAGCTGAACCCAATTGAAAACGTCTGAGCAGATCAGGCAAATAAACGGCGCCATCTTTTCCATTTCCAGACCCCACTTTTCGATGCCAGCGCTCATCGCCAAGCCGAGTAGCATATTTACCAAATAGACTCTTCGGTGGATAATACAAGGCAGAGGTCTTCATAATTACAGGTACGGAATTTTCCTCAGTATGCAATTGTGGGAGTCTTATTAAAATGGGTCCTGAAAATCATTTAAAGTGTCAAAGAGTACAGACTTAATAAACAGGGTGGTCCCAATAAGCACGGGGTGTTGGAAAAATTTTATATATATATATATATATATATATATATATATATATATATATGTAAAATAAAATAAACCGCCACATCTATTAGTCAACGAACAGTAGCAAAGTCTGGCACAAGGACAAAGAATGGAGTATTAAATGACTGATTTATTTTCTACGGCTTATCGACCCTTGGCAGGTTATCTAAAGCCGGAACATATTTCTAGCTTGTAAGAATTTCCTTTTTGTGGAGATAAGGGTTTAGTAGTACAAGTCTTACTACTTAACCCATAGCATGGGGGGAATAAGACGTGGATTCATGCCTTTCACAATAGGTATTTGCATGTAAGTGAATTTAACGAACCCAACGGGAATCGAAACTCGGCACTCCGATTAACAATTCCGAACCATTATCCACAACGCCATCCACACATCCAAGCTTACAGCACCCGGTCTTTCAAAACGGTCACCCAACAAGGAACCAACCAAGCTCGATGTTGCTTAACTTCGGTGGTCGTACGTGATATAACCGTATTCATTACACCAGAGAGTAGATCTGAAGAAGCCCATCTCTCTTCTGGTCCAACTACAGCCGATCTTCTCCGAAATGAAGGCTCGCCTTGGTCACGGAGTAGTAAGTGGTGATTTGAGCGGGTGAAGCCATCGCCTTGGCCGTTAACTTCAGTCGAGAAGTCACCTCGGATTTCCGAAAATGGATAGTGTCCTCAATATCTGCCTACCACGACAACTTTCTCTTGCACCACCCAGACAATTCGTTAGTGACGTCGCGTTGTGTCACGTCACACAACGCCACACCATGTCACGCCCCGTCACGTCACGCCACCCGCTCCCTCTCTCCCTCTTTTTCTTTCTTTGTTTTAAATGATTCTTTCTTTCTTTCTTTCTTTCTTTCTATTTTCTTTCTTTCTTTCAATCGATTATTTCTTTATTTATTTCTTTCAAGCGATTCTTTCTTTCTTTTTTTCGTTCTTTCAAGCGATTTTCCTCCTTTCTTTCTTTCTTTCTTTCTTTCTTTCTTTCTTTCTTTCTATTTTTCTTTATTTCTTTCTTTCCTTCTTTCTTTCTTTCTTTCTTTCTTTCTTTCAAACGATTCTTTATTTTTTTCTTTCTTTCAAACAATTCTTTCAGTCATACTTTCAAGCGATTCTTTCTTTCTTTCTTTCTTTCTTTCTTTCAAGCGATTCTTTCTTTCTTTCTTTCAAGCGATTCTTTCTTTCTTTTTTTCTTTCAAGCGATTCTATCTTTCTTTCTTTCTTTCTTTCTTTCAAGCGATTCTTTCTTTCTTTCTTTCTTTCTTTCAAGCGATTCTTTCTTTCTTACTCCCAAGCTACTGTTTCAACTGAGCTACAGCTGCGCCACACCGCGTGCTACTGGTGGGATTGAGCAAGTGGCCGAATAGGAATTATGAGTACTTAAAAAAAAATCGGTAACAAAAAACCCCATGTAACTAATGCATGGTTAAATGAGATCATTCTACAGCAGTATGACGAAATGAGTTACCGGGAGTGAAATGGAATTAAAAGACTTTAGAATTAACCGGAAACCAAATCCTAAACAGATAACAAGGGATAAACCTCTACTCCTGTCCAAAATATATTTTATAAGTTTGGCATAAAATAAGTATCAAAAGAACTAATTACAAATGTCATACGAGATATTATTTAGTCCAGTTCTGTAAAAGTCTGCAAGAATTTGACGCCCTTTTCGAAGATGAATTCCTCAAGTATACATTCTGCCAGACTGTAGTCGACATTATAAATGAATAGAATTTGGTAGAAGGTCACGAAACGGTGGGACTCCCAGTAAGTAATGAAACTGCTAGGAATGGCTTGCGAGATCAGATGATTACCCCCGTGTGACTTCCTGGCGGAAATGTTCGTCCTATTCATCAGTTCGACTCACCGCACGGGGTACAACGTCTCTTCACCCATTTTGTTGCTGAGGGTTTGCACGTGAGGGGCACCTTTCACGGCCTGCTGTCCCTTTCTTCAGGTCAACATTAATTTTTCTCTTTCTCTCGCTCCACTCAGACAATTCGTTAGGGGCGTCGCGTTGAATGTCCTATCACGCCACCCACGCCACGACACACTACCCACCCCGATCTACAATTCGCACTGCACCCTTCATTCAGCGTTCTTTTCAATTCAACACTTTTGTTGTCGGGTTCAAGAAAACTCGCGGGAGAGGCAAGAAAAATAAAACCTAAATTTGCTTTATTTTTTTCCCGTCACTTGAAATTGAACTGGAATTTCCTTCTCTCTAGAGTTTCTTTCTTTCTTTCTTTCTTCCTTTCTTTCTTTCTTTCTTTCTTTCTTTCTTTCTTTCTTTCTTTCGTTCAAGTCCTTATTCTTTCTTTCATTTCTTTTTTGAAGTTATTCCTTCTTTTTTTACTTTCAAGCAACCTTTTCTTTCTTTAAGCGATTCTTTCTTCCTTCCTCTCTTTCTTTCTTTCTTTCTTTCAAGCGATTTTTCTTCCTTTCTTTCTTTTTGCTTTCTTTCAAGTGATTCCTACTTTTTCCTTTCAAGTGATTCTTTCTTTCTTTCTTTCTTTCTTTCTTTCTTTCAAGCGATTTTCCCTTCCTTTCTTTCAAGCCATTCTTTCTTTCTTTCTTTCTTTCTTTCTTTCTTTCTTTCTTTCTTTCTTTCTTTCTTTCAAGTGATTCTTTCTTTCTTTCTTTCTTTCTTTCTTTCTTTCTTTCAAGCCATTCTTCCTTTCTTTCTTTTTTCTTAGACCGCCTCTTCTTACTTTATATTCGTTCTTTCTTTCTTTCTTTTGTAAATTCCCCCTTCTTAATTTATATTCTTTCTTTCTTTCTTTCTTTCTTTCTTTCTTTCTTTCTTTCTTTCTTTCTTTCTTTCTTTCAAGCAATCCTTTCTTTTTTTTTTCTTTCTTTCCAGCAATTTTTGTTTCTTTCTTTCTTTCAAGTGATTCTTTCTTTCTTTCAAATTCTTTTTATTTCTTACTTTTTTATTTTCTTTTATTTTTCATTTTATCTATATTTTTCTGTGCGTGTGTGTGCATGTGTATGTGTGTGTGTGTGTGTGAGCAAGCAAGCAATTATTCACACATTTTCAAACAAAATACCCAGTCTGATTTACATCTGCTCTGAGAGCATTGAATCTGTTTGATCATTACGACTGAGTAGTGAGTTCGATCCTCACTGGGTGCCCTATTGCAGACATTCGCCCTTGAAGAAGCTGGCGAGAGAATTACGTGTTGTAAGAACAACGAACTGAACTTGGTAAACATTTGTCAGGTAACGAATACTTTTATTTTTGCACTACAATTGAGCATTAGTAAAATCCAATCCATTTCTCTCTTTCTCCCTCTTTTCTTTCTCTCTCCCCCGTCTCTCTCTCTCTCTCTTTCTCCCTCTGTTCTCTCTTTTTCTCCTTCTGTTCTCTCTTTCGCTCTTTTCCCTTTTTTTATCTCCCCACTCTATTCTCTCTCTCTCACTCTTTCTACTTATGTACCTCTCTCTCTTTCTCCCTTTCTCCCTTCATTTATCCCACTTCTCTCTCTGTTTTTCTCTCTTTTTTATCTCTCTTCCTTTTTTCTCCCACTCTGTCTTTCTTTCACCCTCTCTCTTTCTCTGTGTCTCTAACGACTGGTTTGAGTTTTTTGTCAGACTTGGCTACACATGATTCCTGTATTTACGACCGGACAATAAAACGCTTAATATATTTGAACCCCGTCCCATGTCGTAGAGGCGGGGGCGGGGGGGGAGACTTTTTTGGCTAGAACAGGACTGGTCCTACCAGATAGGATATATGATAATAAATTGTCGGAAAAAAAAAATATTGACTTATTTTAAAGGTAATTCTCTAAGTCTACCATTCGTCTTAGAATATTGCTGTCACATATGGTCCGGTGCCTTTGCTAATTATCTTGAGCTCTTTGATAAAATCCAAAGAAGAATCAGCAATATTATTGGTCCTGATCTGGCGGCTCGGCTTCAGTTATTTCCCCATCGCCGTAAGGTCGCCTCTCCGTGTCTTTTCTATAAATACTTTTATGGTGATTGTTTGGATGAGCTCTTTGCTATTGTACGTAACTTCATGAATTTAAGCGCAGTACTTGTCTCGGACATCCTGTAGCCTTCTTTTTCGTCTGTCATCAATACAGTTAGGCAGGTTGATTTTTCACTCTTTTGAGAAAATCAATATTGCACTCAGGGTAAAAGCTGAAGTTTAAAGTGCTAAGTACTGACACCAAAATTTAGATTCATAGCTTTTACCAATTTTTGAGCATTTAGTTTTAAAGATCACCTGAGAAAAATGTAGAGAAAGACCTAATTTCCGCAGGTTTTTGCTTACAAACTGACTTCAAAATATCAAGAATAAATCCAAATAAAGTTGAAATTGTCTCTAGAGTTTACCTTATGTGTCTATAAGTCTACCATTCATCCATTCTTAGAATATTGCTGCCACATATGGTCCGGTGCTCCTGCTAATTACCTTGAGTTCTTTGATAAAATCCAAAGAAGAATCAGCAATATTATTGGTCCTGATCTGGCGTCTCGGCTTCACTCACTTTCCCATCGATGTAAGGTTGCCTCTCTGTGCCTTTTCTATAAATACTTTCATGGTAATTGTTCCGGTGAGCTCTTGCAAATATTCATTGGGGTTAAATTTTTAAATTTGTTGCTTTATTCGCCATCCCCATAACAGACAGTGAATTGTACATATGGGGACTAGTTAGGACTTTCATAGAGACAATGTGGTATTATGGTGGATGTAGTAAGAAAGGTAAGTAAGAATGTGTTGTTGTGGTGTAAGGAATATTGTTCTATGTTTAGGTCAGTGTTTGTGGCTAGCTAAGTTTAACGCTTAAGACAGAAGAAGACCGTCCATTTCCCCATTCCCTATGTTGGCCTTGTGCCACATTTCTGTACATAGTAGAATAAATATCGCGCTTCGTTATGGTACCTAGACTTTTGACTTTAAGGGCAGTACTAGACTGGCGTCGAGATTTCATCAATTTACAGTCAACCAAGCTAGATGCAGCCGTAAATTCTATGCTAACAGTTTGTTTTCTCATACTTCTCGATTGTGGAACTCACATCCGGCTCCTTGCTTTCCAACCAACTTTAATTTGTAAAAATTTAAATGCAATGTCAATCGCTATCTACTGTCCTGCTGATTACTGCAATATTTTACCCTTCTACCAAGAGCCAATGGCATCACTAGCAATAAATATACAAGCAGCTTAAAGCTATTTCATCTTATCTATCTAGAGCCAACGACATCACTGGCAATAGATATACAAGCAGCTGAAAACAATTTCATTTCATTATGTGTATTTTATTTCATCTCATCTACCAAGAGCCAATGGCATCACTAGCAATAAATATACAAGCAGCTTAAAGAAATTTCATTTCATTACATGTATTATATTTCATCTCATCTATCTAGAGCCAACGACATCACTGGCAATAGATATACAAGCCTCTTAAAACAATTTCATTATATGTATTTTATTTCATCTCATCTATCTATCTGCCAACGACATCACTGGCAATAAATATACAAGCAGCTTAAAACAATTTCATTTCATCATATGTATTATGTTTTTGTCCTACATGAGTTTTTTAGTCCTAATTATGTTAACATATGTCATAAAAATATGTTGTTGCCTACTAGAGATTACTTAATTATTGCGTTAGCGTAGGTGAGTGGCGTAATTGTTTATGGCCTGGTAATGAACTTACAACTCTTTGGGTGTAGTCACTGGTCTTTATCCACTGGGCCATGGGTCCTTGAGGATAGATGGCCCAGTTAAAGGAAAAATAACTGAGATATCCGGAAGATGCATGGCACGTGGAACTAGAACAATTTAACCCGGTGGACGAAACAAAGAATGAAGAAGGCTAGAGCGTACAACGGTCGAAGATGGCAATGAAGATGAGGATATCAGTCCTAATAATGTAAATAATTCAAGTAATCATAATACCTCATCTCAGAGATATAGAGGTTGAAACGTTATGGATATGGCAATGAAGATGAGGATAACAGTTCGAATAACGTAAATAATGCAAGTAATCATAATACCTCATCTCAGAGATATAGAGGTCGAAACTTTATGAATATGGCAATGAAGATGAGGATAACAGTCCGATTAACGTAAATAATGCAAGTAATCATAATACCTCATCTCAGAGATATAGAGACCGAAACGTTATGAATATGGCAATGAAGATGGGGATAACAGTCTGAATAATATGAATGATGCAAGTAATCATAATACCTCATTTCAGAGATATAGACAAATATATTTGTATATTTTCAAAAATTATTTATTCGCATATTTGTGACTACATATCCACGCGGCATGCGGTAAAAATATAAAAGGTTAAAAAAAAAAAGAAAAGAAAAAGATTTATTGGTTAATTAAATAATTTAAATAAATTTTCCTCTCCATGTACCGCAACTATGACCTTTTAGTAAACATAGTCCTGTTTTTTTCATTAAATCTTTTTTTTAAAGAATATTTCTGAAGAAGAAGAAGAAGAAGAAGAAGAAGAAAGTTCAAATAAAAGAAAAAGTTTTGTCTTCAAACCGGCGCCTTCCTTATCTTCCCCCACCTATTTTTTTTTTCTTCGTCTTCGTTTTTTGTTGAACGGGACCAGCAGGATATCGAAATGCTTCCGGGAGGTGACAAGAAAGGTGTCCAAACGCGTCATTCAGTCGCTTCCGGTGAATTTAAACGCCAATTGTGGCCGGAGGTGCCGAGTGACTCGTTCGAGATTCTCGCGAGATCTTCAACCAGCGAGAAGGAGACGCAGCTGCCCCTCTTACCAAACTTACTACTGCTGTTTTGTTGCTAATGCTAACGATTCGTAAATCTACGCATACGAACTGGGGGAAGCAATTCAAATAGCTACCAATTCTGAACATAATATTGTGACACATCGATTTGTACATTTAAAAAAAAAAAAAAAAAGAGAAAGTAAACTTTGAAGTAAAATTTCGACTTATTTTACTTTCACTAAACGCCAAGTTTGTAAAGTTTAATCAATTTTATTAGTGTTATCAAAGCACCCTTATTATTATTATTATTATTATTATTATTATTTGTGTATGTAATGTTTCCTGCTTTGTATCCTGTAGAGCCGGGTCTAAACTATGGTCCTTAGGCCGTATAGAAGAATTATCATTTAATTGATAGCACTTATCTTAGTATATGGGATGTTCCTAGTAGGGCGATCTTCTGGGCAACTTGTATGTTGATGTTACCTGGAACACTGTTAGTAAAATTGTCCATTCCTTTTCTCACGTGGCCCAGTGCTCCGATTACTATTGGTACAATCTCAGTCTTCATTCCGCACATTCTGTTAATCTCGATCTCCAGGTCCTTGTATTTAGACAATTTCTCGATAATTTTCATGGAGTTGTTTCTCTCAGATGGTACTGCTATGTCACTAAGCATATACACTTCCTGATTACATAATTTGGCTTGTGCATACCTTCATTATTGCTATTATTTTATTATTAGTTTTATTCAATTATATTATTTTGTTTTTTATCACTTTCGGTCACTACTACTACTACTACTACTGCTACTGCTACTACTACTACTACTACTACTTTTATTTTATGACTTATCAACCCTTTGCAGGTTACTAAAACCAGAAAATATTTTTAGACTGTGAGAATTATTTTTATTATATAATAATGGTTTAGTGATACATGTTTTACTAATTAACCCATACCTGGGGGGAGAGAAGAGGTGGATTCATACCTTTCCCAAACAGTAAGTGAATATAACGGAACGAATTCCAAGAGGTATTGACCAGTTTCGACGTTGCTTAATTTCGGTGATCGTACAGGAACCCATGTTTTAACGTGATATGGCCGTATACCAGTAGTAGTGTTATTACATGTTATTATTGTTGCTTTTTATCACAACACCCTGGGGCTATACATTCTTCATTATTACTATTATTTTAGTTATTAGTCTTATTCCATCATATTATTTTTGCTTTTTACATAAGAGTTCTCATGTTTCAAAAACGAGAGCCGAAACCATCCAAATAATCATTAAAATTAAGTTGAATTGAGGTGTTTAGTCCCGTTTCATCTTCCCGAGAGATAGCTTATTCCTAAAATTTCGCTTGAAGATGAAACTAGAATTTTCATGCAAAACACCTATTGGCTTACATGGAAACAACAAAGGACTGGGTGATACTATCTTCAATATTATTATTATTTTCGTTTCAGCCTTTAATCCAGATGTTCGTAACCATCGATGAGTGTTAACTTTATCAACATCGGCTTTATTAGCCTCGTTCTGGATATTGGCCATACAGAGGTTTGTCTTGCCAGCATTGCTTCATCTGTTCAAGAGATTTATTCTTGGCTTTCTTTTTCATAAATTTTGCTGCAAAAATTGGTTCTTGGATTCTGCTTTGGTTTTCTACAGAATCTACTAAATGTAAATCTCGTTTGTATTTACAACTTTCTTTCATGATTGACTATTTTTCTTTCCGTTTTTGTGTTGTTTGACTAATTGTATCACCCAGTCCTTTGTTGTTTCCATGTAAGCCAATAGGTGTTTTGCATGAAAATTCTAGTTTCATCTTCAAGCGAAATTTTAGGAATAAGCTATCTCTCGGGAAGATGAAACGGGACTAAACACCTCAATTCAACTTAATTTTAATGATTATTTGGATGGTTTCGGCTCTCGTTTTTGAAACATGAGAACTCTTATGTAGCGAAGGAATCATATTTTTAAACAAAAAAATATTATATATATATATATATATATATATATATATGAATCATATCTTAGATTTGTCGAAAGGCTATAGATAGATGACGTCTAGTGATGATCGATGTCGGTACTCAGTAATAATTCTATCTATACTCGCATGCTGTTTTAGTAGCCTAAATAGAAACAGTCGAATTTGGTCGTGTTATTCTGGGAACAAAATATGTGTTTTATAAAGTGGTGTGTAAACGTTCGCATGGGTGTAAGAGCTGCCCTTGTGAAAACGGTTTTTTTTTGTTGTTTTTTTTGGGGGGGGGGTTCACGACAATTAGTGTGTGTAAACACATTTCTTGTTTGAATGTTGATCTTTGCTCACGTTTTCAAGTATCGGACAGCGAGATTCTGCGAGCGAATAAACGCTGCTCACGTGTCTACATGTAAATATAAGAACGTGTAAACGCACACACACGCGCGCGCTTAGAGAGACATGCAATGTCGACACGTCTGTATTCAATATTTATTTAAACATTCGAGGATGTACTTCTCTTGAGTAGTTAGTCAGTACTTAATATTTTTTTTTGTTTTGTTTAAAACATCTTTCCGTATTTCCTGTGAAGAGCGTAATTTAAAAACAAAACAAAAGAACAACAACAAAAATATTACGAACGGACATACTCCCTTCGTAATATTTTTGTTGTTGCAATGCGTAAAATCAGTAAAAATAATAATGGCGGAACTGTTTTGCAGGAGTGCGCGTGCGCGATCTTCTGCTGCTTCCGGTTGTCGGATGGTCACCTATGAATAAGAAAAGCAACAATGACTGACATTTAGAAATGTTTTAGGAAGTCGTTGAGAGCACTCTGAAGAAATTTTCCCTTACGTCTCGAGTTGGTCTCGTCGAACTTTTTCAACACAGGATGACGAATTTCTTTTCTCCCTATCGTTACGTTTCGGTTACAAGTTTACATCAAAATTGTAAGGACAAGAAATTTGAAGCAAAAAAAAAAAAATCTTTTGAATTAGAACAATCTAACAATCATGGCTGTCTGCTTGTTTCTGAGTACATTCGTCGGCTAGAGTGGCTAGCTAATCCCTACTGCAGACACCAGCTCAGTAACATTTATGTTTCTTCCTACATAGCCAACGTATGGTTTATACTACAACTATACTAAGTGATTAACATTTGATCAATGCCAGTATGAGGCTCACAGCCATATGTCGTTAAAACACCGGGTCTCGTCCGATCACCTAAGTTGAGCAACGTCGATCATGGCCAGTATCTTGAGTGGTGACCGCTTGGGAATACAAGATACATTGTTAGTTTTAATAGCAAGATGCGATGAAACAAAAATCTTGAAACGATTACAATCATTGTTTACGACACGAACACACAAGTAATAATAATAATGATAAAGATCAACAAATTAAACGGAAAGAAAGAAAGAAAGAAAGAAAGAAAGAACAAATGCTGGGTGGGAAAGAAAGAAAGAAAGAAAGAAAGAAAGAAAGAAAGAAAGAAAGAAAGAAAGAAAGAAGAACAAATGCGGGGTGGGAAAGAAAGAAAGAAAGAAAGAAAGAAAGAAAGAAAGAAAAAAGAAAGAAAGAAAGAAAGAAAGAAAGAAAGAAAGAAAAAGAAAAATGCTGGGTGAGAAAGAAAGAAAGAAAAAACAAGAACAAATGCTGGGTGAGAAAGAAAGAAAGAAAGAAAGAAAGAAAGAAAGAAAAGAAAGAAAGAAAGAAAGAAAAATGCTGGGTGAGAAAGAAAGAAAGAAAGAAAGAACAAATGCGGGGTTGGAAAGAATGAAAGAAAGAAAGAAGAAAGAAAGATTGAAAGAACAAAGAAAAAAATAGAGGGAGGGACGTAGGAAAAGATTGAGGAAGTCTTCTATATATATATATATATATATATATATATATATATATATATATATATATATATATATATATATATATATATACAGGGGTTGGACAAAATAATTGAACAGGTGCATATTCCACTCTTATATTTCAAAGATATTGAGAACTTTAACTAAAACTTCGTAATTGCAGGTTATATATATTGTAAATATGTTTATTTATCTAATTTACTCTCTTAGTTTTATTTATTTTTAAAATTTAGAAAATTTAATCTAAATGCGTGATGACCTCTCCGAGTTCGAAAAATGGCAAATTTTTGGAGCTCGCATGACAGGAGCCTCGATCACTAAGATTGCGGAACTGTTTGGTTTTTCAAGAGCTACCATATCAAGAACTATGACGCAATTCGTAAAACAGGGCAAAACCTATATCAACCGTAGCAATTCGGGGCGGACTTGCAAACTTACTGGCAAGGGCGGGCTGACGTGTATTGAAACGCAATGTGGCAAAAAATCATCGAACTACTGCGGCCAAAGTGACTGCTGAGTTGAATAATCATCTGAATAGTCCAGTTTCTACAAAAATGTTCGTCGTGAGATCCATAAGGCTGGATATCATGGAAGAGCCGCTGTGAGGAAACCTCTTTTCTTCACTCGCAACATTCAGAAGAGGTTGAAACTGTGCAGAGATTACAATGCCTGGTCTGCAGACCAACGGAAGCAAGTCATATTCTCAGACGAGTCCAGTTTTTCTCTTTTCCCAACCTCAGGGCAAGTTTATGTGTGGCGGCAGCCCAAAGAAGCTTACAACCCTGACTGCCTTCTTCCAACGGAGAAGCATGGAGGTGGATCAGGTGCAAATTTGGGCCGCCATATCAAGGAAATGTCTCAGTCCAATAGTTGCCCTGCATGGTAGAATCAACAGCAAAGATTACCTGAACATTTTAGGAGATCATGTTCATCCAATGGCCAAGACTTTATTCCCTAATGGTGACTGCATCTTCCAAGACGATAATGCTCCAATACATACCGCTCAAGTGGTTAAGAATTGGTATGAAGAGCATGAAAGTGAACTAGAACACATGGAGTGGCCTCCCCAATCTCAAGATATCAATATTATTGAACATTTGTGGTGCATTTTGGGGCAACAAGTTAGGAGCCGCTATCCTCCAACGTCGTGTCGTAAAGAGCTGGAGAAAGTTTTAATGGAAGAATGACTGAAAATTCCTCTGGATGAAGTCAGGAAGCTGTATGATTCCATTCCTAGACGTTTTAAAGCTGTATGTGAGGCTAAAGGAGGACCAACTCTATATTAAATAAATTTTCTTTGAATTCAACAAGTGTTTGAATTATTTTGTCCAACCTGTATATATATATATATATATATATATATATATATATATATATATTCCGTAGCGACATGTCTGACTGCAATATACGTCTCTTTGCCTCCGCCCGTAACAAGTGTAATCGTGTCCTCAACGATGCTAAGTCACTATGCGGCTTGGATGAAGGAGCGTATTGCATCGCACAATTTTGGCTCCAAAGATTACTGGCGTCTCTGCAAGAGCGTATTGAACAATTGCAAACCCTCTATACCTCCTTTATTCAACCAGTTCGAAGTCCTGACCTCCTCTACCGACAAGGCTGAATGCTTTGCTCTGAAATTTTCATTAAACTCGACGCTCGACTCTGCCTGTGTACCCATACCCGACTTCCTTCTTAGAACTGAGGCTCTATTGAGTGGGCTACATATAACCCCGTCTCTGGTATTGGGCGTTATCTCCAATTTAGACCCCAACAAGGCTAGTGGTGGAGATGGGATACCAGCCATTGTCATGCGCGCCTGAACTAGCGCCCGCCCTTTCGAAACTATACAACTACTGCCTCAAGGAATCTTGTTTTCCTGACTGCTGGAAGTCCTCTTCGATTGTTCCTATCTTCAAGAACTCTGGCGACCCCTCTGACTCTTCCAACTACCGTCCTATCAGTCTCCTACCCCTCTTTGGCAAAGTCTTCGAAGCCCTAATCAATACCGGGGTGGTTAACCACCTCACATCCCATGATCTGCTCTCAGACAAGCAATATGGCTTCCGCTTTGCCCTATCTACAGCTGATGTGTTTACGGCCATCACTGAAACTGTCTACCTAGCTCTTCAAAATAACGGGGAAGCTCGTGCCGTGGCACTAGACATCTCCAAAGCATTTGATAGGGTTTGGCATGCCGGCCTTCTTCGTAAGCTCCAGGGTTATGGCATTACGGGTCGATTGTTTGACCTAATACAATCATTCCTGTCAAACCGTGAATTGAAGGTCGTTCTCAACGGATTCTCCTCCAGTTCCTATCCCACGAACGCAGGTGTTCCTCAAGGCTCCACCCTAGGCCCCACTCTATTCCTTATCTACATAAATGACCTTCCTGACGCCATAAATTCCCAAGTTGGCATCTACGCGGATGACACCGCAATTTATTCCTGCCTCAAAAACAAATCTAGTGTCGCTGAAAAGCCCTCCAATCGATTGTGAACTGGGGCAGGAATTGGCTGGTCAACTTTAACGCTTCAAAAACAAAACTGCTCTCTATTAATCACCACAGAGATCCTTCCCTGCCCTCCATTAGAATGTCTGATGCTCAACTTCTCGAGAGCAACTCTCTGCGACTGCTCGGTCTCACGTTGACTGCTGACCTGAGACGGAACAAATACATTGAGTCAATTGCTTCGTCCACCACAAGGAAAGTTGGCTCCCTGAGCCGCGCCAGGAAATTTTTCTCCCCGGAATCGATCCTTCAGATCTACAAATTAACAATTCGCCATTGTATGGAGTATTGCTGCCATATATGGTCTGGAGCCCCTTCTGTTTGCCTCGGTGTTCTTGATAGGCTCCAGAGGCGGATATTCAATGTAGTTGGCCCTGCCCTGGCGTCTCGTCTACAGTCACTTTCTCACAGACGCGCCGTCGCCTCCCTCTGTCTGTTCTACAAATGCTTTCATGGTAATTGCTCCAAGGAGCTGCATCCGCTGGTTCCCAGACTTCATGAGTTCAAGCGCCCTACGAGGCTGGAATCCCGCTCTCACCCCTTCACTGTCGAAACTCCTAAATGTAACCGTCTCTTCTACTCCAATAGCTTCATGTTTCGCACCTCTCGCCTGTGGAACTCCCTTCCCTATTACAGTTTCCCTGAGAGCTATAATCTCCAGCTATTCAAGTGTAATGTCAATCGACATCTCCAGTTGCCTTGATCTATCCACTATCCTTCTCCTCATCCTTTTCTCTATCACTCCTATCTTATCTTGCTCCAAATTTTCTGTAACCCCTTGCGTCATAGTGGCTTCCCGCCTTGCTTGGGTGAAACGCTTTATATATATATATATATATATATATATATATATATATACAAGTATAGGATTGGTGTATACAGAATAAATTCCAATTAGCAACAATTACTATTCTTAAAAGAGTGCTCAATACAGAGTAGAGCGAATATAATTATTTATTCGAAAATTATAACATAAATATGTGATAAAATATGTTATATATATATATATTTATATATAATATATATATAATATGTTATATAATATATGTTATATATATAATATGTTATACACACACACACACACACACACACACACACACACATATATATATAGTGAGTAACGGAGAGAGAGAAATGTGGGAGAAAGAATAAGGAAGGAGCACAAAGAGAAAGAGAGAGAGAGAGAGAGATGGAGAGAGAGAAGAGGAGAATCTTAGAAACAGATATGGAGAATCAAAAAGCAAGAGGCGTGGTGGGGGAGGAAGAGAAATAAAGGGAAAGCGAGAGAGAGAGAGAGAGAGAAGGGACTGGAAAGGCAAGAAAAAAAAGAAAGAAAGAACGATGGAGTAAAGTTAGAGAGAGGAATGTTGGAGAAAAAAGTGGGGAAGGGGCAGAAATAGAAAGAGAAGCGAAGAGAGATAGAGAGATAGAGAAAGAAGCGGAAAGGCGGAGAGGTGGATACCTTTTCCTAAAAAAGAAAGTGTGAAGAAGAGATAGATAGGGAGAAAGTAAAAAGGGAGTAGTGTGCGGGATGGAGAAAGGGGGGGAAAAGAATGGAAAAGCAAGAGGGAGAAAGAGAGATAGAGAGATGAAGAAAGAAAAAAAGAAAGAAAGAAACAAACAAACAAAGAGGGAAATGAGAGAGAAAGAGAAAAGAGGAAGAGACAGGATAAGGAACAGAGAGAGAGAGAGTGAGAGAGAGAGAGAGAGAGTGTGAGAGAGAGAGAATGAGAGAGAGAGTGAGAGAGAGAGATTGAGAGTGAGAGAGAGAGAGTAAGTGACTATGTCTGTGGAATTGGCTAATGAAGTAACAGCAAAATATTGACAGTTGATCCCAACCACATCTTTTTTTTGCCGACATCGTCTTAATAGAACAAAACCAAATTGGAATCAGAACTGTCACAGACAGAAGAATTGTACGAATTACAATAGAAAAGAAAACAGAAAGGAAGTAGGGGAAACAATCAAGCTTTTAAATAAATCACATTTTTCTCTGTAAAGTCGTGTTTTCGAAAGATAGCTGCAGGGGCATTTTGCGCATGCGTTAATCTGCCGGTGCGCATGCGCCCCAGTAAGTCTCCGAAGGGTTACAAGCCATAGAAAAGGAAACAGAGAAGGAAAAGAGAGAGAGAGAGAGAGAGAGAGAGAAAGAGAGAGAGAGAATGGAAAATGGAATATATATATATATATATATATATATATATATATATATATATATATATAAAATATATAGAAAATAGGAAAGAACTCGTTAGGTAAATAATCCAAAGTTCTTTAGTATTTTTTTTTTTTATTATTTAAAAAAAAATCGTGCTCGATACAAAAGTAGAGCATAAATATAATTATTTATGTAAAAATATGATTCCAACGCTACATAAGAGTTCTCATGTTTCAAAACAAGAGCCGAAAACTTCAATATAATTATATTTGAATTAAATTGACTTAAAGTACCAAGCTCTGTCCCATCTTCAAGCGAACTAACTTATTCCTGAAATTTACGCGTTTTATAAGCATATTCAATAATGACTATGCTCATAAAACGCGTAAATTTCAGGAATAAGTTATTCCAAAAAAATATTTCGCTTGAAGATGGAACAGACCTTGGTTTTTTAAATCAATTTAATTCAAATAATTATATTGAAGTTTTCGGCTTTTGTTTTGAAACTTGAGAACTCTTATGTAGCGTTGGAATCATATTTTTAAATAAATAATTATATATATATATATATATATATATATATATAACTATTCATATATATTTATGTATATATAAATATTCACATATATGCATATGTATATGCATTAACATATACACTACAGTTCAAAAGTTTGAGGACTCTCCAGTTAATGTTTTAAATTGGCCCCAGAAGTAGTTGTTTTGAACTTTAAAACAGACAAAATTATTATATTTAGTTAAAAAAGTGAGACATGATTTTTTTTTACAAAGTTTCTTATGACAAAAGAAAAAGAAAAGCATTTTATGATTAAATTTTGCTCTCGTCAAAATATCCTCTTTTAGTCTTGATTACTGCAACACATTTGTTGGCATTCCTTACAAAATTTTCTCAAAGTATAAGTTTGATAATTCATTCTATTCTTTTTTCAATGATTCTTCATTCACTCTCTCTCTCTCTCTCTCTCCCTGTTCCCTTCCTATCTCTTTCTCTTCTCTTCACTTTTCTTTGTTTCTGTCTTTCTTTATCCATCTCTCTCTATCTCCCTTCTATCTCTTTAGAGTCATTAAAAAGCTCCTTTGTTTTTTTCATTCCTCTGCCAAATTCATCCCATTCTAATCCCGGGAGTGGCTTCAAATACACACACACACACACACACACACACACACACACACACACACACACACACATATATATATATATATTATAATTATTTTTTAAAAAGATGCCTCCATCGCGACACAGAAATTACAATCTTTCGAAACTGAAACTCAAGTCCTAAATTTCAATTTCAAGATTAAACTTAAAATGTAGAGCACAGTTTCATTCTCAAGCGATGTTAAGAATAACTTACTGAGAAATCAGTTTACTCTATTTATAAGTTAGGGGAGAGGGTGGTATGAATGTTCCTATTGTTTATCGAAACATATTAATATATGTCGCGATGGAGACATATTTTTAAAAGAATAATTATAATATTATGCTCTACTTTGTATCGAGCGCTGTTTTTCAAAAATAAAACAAAAATACTAAAGAACTTTGGATTATAAATCTGACTGTTCTTTCCCATTACTTGGATACAAGCACACAGTTCTCTAACTTATAAATAGAGTAAACTGATTTCTCAGTAAGTTATTCTTAACATCGCTTGAGAATGAAACTGTGCTCTACATTTTAAGTTTAATGTTGAAATTTAGGACTTGAGTTTTAGTTACGAAAGATAGTAATTTCAGTGTCGCGATGGAGGCATATTTTAAAAAATTAATTAATATATATATATATATATATATATATATATATATATATATATATATATATATATATATATATATATATATACCTATTAATTTGTTTAAAACTGTGCCTTTGCTTGTATCTGTTATTATTTGTTTGATTATCTTATTTATTAGCTTCTTTTGATCATAAACATTCACGTGCAACATTAATAAACGTTTTGTTTGCTCAGTTCTGGGAATTTTACAAAACCTTTCTAATAATTTGGCACGGTCAAATCACCGTGCTGATAACAAATATGGCGCCAGTTTGTTTACATTGCGCAAATCAGTACAAAAATTTCAGTGATTGCGCAGGTCAGTGTTGCCAACATTGTGTGAAAATTTTGTGCGAATTGATTGGACGTTTTTTGAAATATTAGAAAAAAAGTTATCTCGATAATAATTTGGCACGCAGTATATATATATGGAGAGTGAGAGAGGGGGGATTAATTGGGATTAGCTATGCATTAGAATCCGACAGAATGATAAAGAACAAATAGAAATCGTTTATAATTTTAACGTGTTTCGATTTTATTAAAGCTTCATCAGAAATAAAATATGGAAGAGAAAATATGGTAATTTTTATTTTTTTGTTATTTGTTTTTTATGGTTACGTAGATCTCACGTGTATTTGTCTTTTTTTATAAACACATTTTAAAAAAAAATCTTTTCAAAAATTATTTCATTCATTTGTGAATAATTCCTGAAAATTTAATTAAAATCCGACAATTATTTTATTTTACACGAATTTCCAAATCAATGTGTTTTTCACCGCAAAAAGGTGTTCGAATTCACCGTACAAAGTAATGGCCCCCTGTTGACGTCAGAAAAAATATTTAACCAAAATTTGAAAGTTTCTAAAAAGGATTTTAAAAAGATTACAGGACAAAATTGTCGATAAAATTCTGTGTTTATGTTGTGGGCACTTTTTCGGTATCCGGTAAATTGCTCAAAATCAATTACTCGACAGTAAATTGCTCGAAAAGTAATTTCTCGAAGTATCAATTGCTCGAAAGGTAGTTTGCTCAAAACCTGTGGTAAAAAAAACAAAAAAAAAAAACCCCAAAAAAACAAACAAAAAAAAAAACTACATTGTTTCCAATATTTACTATAAGATAAAAGAATACAACTTTATTGTTGTTAAATGAACAGTTAAAATTAAAGAACGAGTACATTTATATGGCAGGCCTTATATTTTTTTGTCTCGAAAGGCACTTAGCTCGAAAGATGGTGCACTTTACGTGGTGCTTCGAGCATCGAAATTACTCCGAGCAATCTGCCTTTCGAGCAATTAATAGTTCGAGAAATTATTTTTCGAGCTATTGATTTCGAGCAATTTACCTAGATCCCACTTTTTCATAATGAATCCTTATTTTTATTCTTGATTTATTTTAGCTTTTATATATATATATATATATATATATATATATATATATATATATATATATATATATATAATATTAGTGGTAAATATACACATATATATGCAAAATATATAAATATATATGCATACACATACATATATATTTTTTGAATAAAAAATTTCAAGAGGATAGAATCCAGGTAGAACTCAATGTCCAGGACAGAGTAAGGATATAATAAAAAAGGCTTAATATTCCATGGTCATAATTTATTCCATTGGAATCGTAAATACGAGGAGTTTTTTTCTCTGATATTACGTCACAGTTTTTTTTTCTCTCACTTAAACCGTCTTCCACTCACCTCTCTAAAACTTCTCTCTGTTAAGGCTTAATATCTCACCTTCTCTCGTCTGTTACCCCTCTCTTTATCTCTAACATTCGTCCCACACTCTCATACTTACACTCTCTCTAAATTCTATTTTTATTTCCGGAGTTGTTTTTTTCTGTTTTCTTTTTGAATTTGTAGGTCTGATGAATTGGATCGTATTTACGATTTCAATGGAATAAATTATGACCATGGAATATTAGTGTTTAATCATTTTTTATTATTATTGTTATTATTATTATTATTATTATATATATATATATATATATATATATATATATATATATATATATATATATATATATACCGTATATGACGCGTCCGGCGGAGGAGGGGCGTATTCAACATTTGATAATTTTGCAGCAATACTCGCTTAAAGGTTTTAAGCAGTTTTGAACAACATTTCTTTTCATGGTTAGCCATAAGGAATTGTAAATGTCAGACTACCTTACACTTAAGTAAAATAATAAAAATAATAATATTTATTAAGAATTTATTACAGGAAATATCAAGTTTTACGGAAACATTGTTGACAATTATGTATTTAGTTACATAGCAAATAAATAAAAATAATATAAATTTTGATGCTATATTTGATTTGTTGTTTGATATTTTTCATTTTCTCTTTTGTTATTGGCAGTATTTCAGAATAATTTGGCTGCAATGCTAAATGTCCTAAGTTGAACAAACTGGGGTTATTTTATTTACGTTTTGTTACCTCTCTTTTCCATTTTTGTTTTTAGATCGCTTTCTTCCAGTCATTTTGATGGGCAATAGCAAAATTCTGAAATTTAGAATGATCTTCCAATTCAAAAATAAAGCGTGTAAAAAATGAATGTTTAAATTAATCTACGACCAAAAATAAAATGTTTTTGACAAAAAACCTTACTGATTTCAATATAATTATGTAACAAAAATGTAATGATTTTCCGCAGACAAATCTACGATTTATGTTACCTCATCTCATTGCATTGTTATGAACTATAAATTAAAATTGAGCTTGAAATATTGTGTAATCGGCTGTAATTTTTTGTAAAATATTTGGATAGGATATAATGAATAATTTTCAGTGAAAAAAAAAACAATTTTCGATTTTTTTGTTGAATACGCCCCTCCTCCGCCGAACGCGTCATATGTTATGTGAACTAGCATAGTACCCGTTAAAAATGACCGTTTTACATAAGTATTGTTGAATACGCCCCTCCTCTGCCGAACGCGTCATATGTCATGTGAATTAGCATAGTACCCGTCAAAAATGACCGTTTTACATAAGTATTGTTGAATACGCCCCTCCTCCGCCGAACGCGTCATATGTCATGTGAACTAGCATAGTACCCGTCAAAAATGACCGTTTTACATAAGTATTGTTGAATACGCCCTCCTCCACCGTACGCGTCATATACTCGCACATCCTGCGACATTTGGAGACTTAATTTTTTTGATGTCCTGCAGATATACAAAAATAGAAAGGGGTGTAAAGAAAGGATGTGTCTTCTCACTGTTATGCAATATCAGTCCTCCAATATGGCAGTGAATGCTGGACAATCTCCTCACAGATGAAGAAGAGACTTGGAGCAAGAGTAACAAAGAAAAGAGTACTGAACTGTTATGTAATATCAGTCCTCCAATATGGCAGTGAATGCTGGACAATCTCCTCACAGATGAAGAAGAGACTTAAAGCAAGAGTAACAAAGAAAAGAGTACTGAACTGTTATGTAATATCAGTCCTCCTATATGACAGTGAATGCTGGACAATCTCCTCACAGATGAAGAAGAGACTTGAAGCAACAGAAATGTGGTTCTACAGAAGGATGCTGAGAATACCATGGACCGAACATGTTAACAACGACGAGGATTTGGGGAGACTAGAAAAAAATAGAAATCTTACACTTAACATCAGAAAGAGGTAGTTAAAATTCCTGGGACATATGGTGAGATAGGAAGGCTTGGAAAATTTTTTTTTTATATTTTGTTGATATATGATTAACATATTTTTTGTTTAAACGTTATTTTTGACGGATACTCATATTTGTTTTTTGTTTTTTTTAATTAAACAGTAATTTTTATGCAACTACATCTGCCGGTCTGAATGATGTCGTTGTTTAATTAAAAGACAGAAATTCAACTCGAATATGAATATTCATCAAAAATACCATTTAAACAAAATAAAATAAAAATATGTCGGATTTAGTCCATTTCCTATAATTAGCATGCCAAAAATATCCAAGTATATGAATGATATATATATATATATATATATATATATATATATATATATATATATATATATACGAGTTAACGTTTTTTTGTAGGCATCATCAGATTTTTGGTTTGAAATAAAAAAATTTATATAACTTGTTTAACAATCATCAGATTCATAGTAGTAATTATTAACTACAAATTTGCATACAACATAACACCCTTCATAATCCATAGCCCAAATTAGTAGTTTAAATACCTTACATAAAAGATAACCCTTTATGAAGTCGTCAAAAACAAACGTTACGAAAGTTTTTTTTTTATATGCACAATTCCTTTCATAATAAAATAAAATAAAATAAAATAAATAAATCTCCATAGACAAGCCAACTTGACGAAAGCTTAATACATCTTCGTTTCATTTTTGACACCCCCACCTTTCCCCGACTTGACACCTTGAAAGTATCTCTATACCGCTACTTATTATTAACACCCTACACTCGCCTACCCAATTTAAACAATTCGCCCTAGCTGTTACCATGGTGATTTTGATTTCAATTTTTAAAACAAGTAAATTTCAGATATACATTATTCCAACAAAAATTTCGCTTGAAGATGGAACGGAGCCCTTTTTAATTTCAACTCAATTTAATTTAAAGGATTATATGGAAGTTTTCGGCTCTTGTCTTATGTAGCGATTTGGAATCATATTTTTAAATAAATAATTATATATATATATATACAGAGAGAGAATTGATTGAGATAGAACTGAGTAAACTTAGAGACAGTACTGAGATAAACAGATTTGAATACGCTTAGAGAGAGAGAAAGAGAGAGAGAGGGAGAGACAGAGAACTGACAGTGATAGGTAGAGAGATAAAGAGATAAAAAAAAAGAAAGATAGAATTAAGATAGATCTGATCAGACACACACACACACACACACACACACACACACACACACACACACACACACACATATATATATATATATATATATATATATATATATATATATATATATATATATAACCGAATATAGGGTTGGTGTAGACGAAATACAAAGTAAAGTAAATAATATTTATTCAAAAATTATAACATCACCTATAATTTTTGAATAAATCTTTTTATTATATATATATATATATATATATATATATATATATATATATATATATCAACAATCAGAAGTGTTGAAACAAAATGACTATTTTGTAGTGATGTTATAACATAAATGTTATATGTTATAACATATTTATGTTAGAATTTTTGAATAAATAAAATTATATATATATATATGTGTGTGTGTGTGTGTTTAGGTAGCAAATTCTCTTTTAGGCATGTCTGATTGAATAAATTACGAATAACGTTGCGTGTATTGATGTTAAAGGATGAGAGAAATGTGCTATCGCTGTTTAAATTATTTTTATTTTCATTTCCCCAAGTACTTTCGATTTAAACAAAATTTAAACAGTTATACCACATTTCTCACATCCTTTAACATCAATACACGGAAGGTTATTCGTAAGTATGAACGGATTTTATTAAAAATTAGCAGACATAATGTCTGTAATTTATTCAATCATCCACACACACACACACACACACATATATATATATATGAACATATTGAGATATGAACAGACTGAGTTAGTTCAATAGATAGATAGATAGATAGATAGATAGATAGACAGATAGATAGATATGAACAGACTGAGTTAGTTAAATAGATAGATAGATAGATAGATAGATAGATAGATAGATATGAACGGACTGAGTTAGATAGATAGATAGATAGATAGATAGATAGATAGATAGATAGATAGATATGAAAAGACTGAGATAGATAGGTATGAATAAACTGAGATAGATAGATATGAACAGAGATAGATATGAATAGACTGAGATAGATAGATAGATAGATAGATATGAACAGACTGAGATAGATAGATAAATAGATATGAACAGACTGGGATAGACTGATAGACAAACAGATATTCATATCTATCTATCTACCTATAGATAGATAGATATGAATAGATAGATAGATAGATATGAACAGACTGAGATACATAAATACATACATAGAGACATACATAGATGCATAGACAAATAGATAGAAAGTACTTAAGTCCAGATTAGAATTGAAAGATAGATATAAACAGATTTTCTTTCCTTATCGGAAAAGCAATGTGGAAATGATTCGAGGCGAAAAAGTGAGGCCGGCGAGATTCGGAGAATTGTGTTACTTGATTTGAAGGTAAGCACGTCGTAAACATCTGTGTAAGACAGCATCGCCCGCAGACAATGCCATCTTCTGGCGGTGTCGAGGCGGGGCAAAGAGGACCTGGCGCCCTGCGTGTGCCTACCATGCATAATACGCCAACAGCCGGCCATGACACACGAAACAAAATGGCCGACTCGCACGAATCAAAAGGGCGGGAAACTCTAAGGGCGTGTGTGTGTGTGTGTGTGTGTGTGTGTGCGTTTGCGTTTGCGTGCGCGTATCTATTTATTCTCACATCAGAATAGTTCTGAAAATATAATTTACATATATATATATATATATATATATGCTTGCACGAACATTAATAATTGCCACGAATATTTATATGTATAAATGTGTGTATGGTTCAACAGTCAATATGGATTAGTTCCACTGGTTTATATTATCAAACTATGATCACGTGGTGAAATTAGACTTAAATAATTCAATTTTTGACGCATCTTACGTGTTTTAAGTTAATTTCAATCAAAATTTAATAGGATTAAAATTCCGAACTAGAAAAGACAAGATATAGTAATGGTTTGATATCAAACGCAAATACTAGATGAGAATGAAACGCTTTGAAATAATGTTTAAATGTTCCCAGTAAAAGGTTGAAGCAGCTCCAAGTGCGTATGCACAGTGCACACGTAAAACACACATGTACATACGAGCAAGTGCGCGTGTGTTGTATATATTGCGTGCGGACAAACAGTTATGTAAATGTAGACTGATATAGGTTTTCGATACGGAATTTCAATGAATGAAGCATAACTGACTTTGGCGAAAAAATATTTTGACCTGGTAACCGCCATTTAAATTATATTTTTACCTATTTTAGTCTATTCATATCTATCTATCTATCTATCTATCTATCTATCTATCTCAGTTTGTTTATATGTATTATGTATGCATGTATCAATCTGTCTGTTGATATGCATGTATGTATGAATCTATCTATCTGAGTCTGTTCATATGTTTGTATGTAGGTATGTATGTATCTTGTTGATTTCTCTCATCTCTCTCTCTCTCTCTCTCTCTCTAAATATATATATATATAATATATATATATATATATATATAAGTCTATTAATATCTGTCTATCATATGTATGTATGTATCTATCTCAGTCTGTTCATATGTTTGAATGTATGTATGTATGTATGTATGTATGTATCTATCTATCTATCTATCTATCTATCTTAGTCTGTTTATATGTATATATGTATGCATGTATCTATCTGTCTGTTGGTATGTATGTATGTATCTATCTATCTATCTATTTATCTATCTATCTATCTGAGTCTGTTCATATGTTTGTATGTATGTATGTATCTATCTATCTCAGTCTGATCATATGTATGTATCTATGTATATATGTATATATCTATCTTGTTGATTTCTCTCATCTCTCTCTCTATATATAAATACATATATATATATATATATATATATATATATATATATATATATATATATATATATATATAAAAGTGAACATGCATATAGTCATGAAACAGACTGTCGCTTCAGTCTGTTTGTTGATATCTATGTTCATGCTTTTATATATATATATATATATATATATATATATATATATATATATATATATATATATTTATTTATTTAAGTCTATTACTATCTATCTATCATATGTATGTATGTAAGTATGTATGTATGTATCTATCTCAATCTGTTCATATGTATCTATCTATCTATCTATCTATCTATCTATCTATCTATCGAGAAACGAGATACCTACGGTTTTTAAAAGAATTCTCAAAAATGAAAAATCTTTCTTGAAACTTTTATTTTAGTTTTAATTGCAAACCTTGCCATTTATGATTAGTAAATATTATTGTTACTTAGTATCTGTCTATATTTCTGAGATGAGGTATTATATATGAGGTATTACATTATTCAGACTATTGTCCTCATCTTTGTCGCCATATTTATTACAACGTTTCGGCCTTTCAGTATCTGTCTATATTTCTGTGATGAGGTATTATGTACACTATTTACATTATTCGGACTATTGTACTCATATTGTCGCCATATTTATTACATTTTAAAAGAACAAACGTATTTAACAAGAGTTTCTAAAAAAACATTTCTAAGATAATGTGAAGTTATGAATTTATGATTTGTGAATAAGTCTGGAAAGTTTTATTAAAATCCGGCATTCATCAGATTTCTCTGAGAATGTTTCCAAGAATTTTACTAAAATTTCCTATACTAATCTTTGGACTCGCATTCAGCTGATGCAAAAAGAAAAGAAGATTTTAACCAAAAATTTCGACCATTCTAAAAAGAGTAAAAAATATAATTAACTATTCAAAAATCTTCTAGTTTTTCCTTTTCATAATAACAAAGATTTTGATGATAAAAATTTTTCCTTAAATAATATTTAAAAATGAAATTTAAAAATAAAATTAAAAAAATGAGAGCTGGTAATATACATACTTATATTTGATATGGGAAAGTAATTTTAAATAATTTAAATAATTCTACTACATTTACTTGTTTTAAAAAGAAATATAGTCTATTAGTAATTAAGAGTAAAAATATTTTAAAATTGTACTTAAATAAAACGTATTCTAACCCAAACACCCCAAGAAATAATCTTTAAGTATACAAGTACGAAAAAAATGCCTAAAATCTTTTTTGCCGTTAATACAAAAAAACAAAAAAAAAACACCAGACGACATGCATTTAACGGATGTCAGAATTCGTTGAAAAGATACACCCCTACCCTCCCTAAACTTAACCTCTTTTACGAACGTAACTCATAATTGGTACAACAATAGTTAATAAAAATGAACATGCTACCGCCCCTTGTCTGAATGATTGGATTTCTCTGTATCTTTGGAAACAGGAAATTATGAATTTATTTATGCGTTTAAAACTCAGTAAATTTAAAAATAAGTTATTCCAATATTCGCTTGAAGATGAAACGGAACTAATACTTTTAATTTAATTATATAATTAAATTTGATGTTTTTAGCTTCACTTTTTGAAACATGGTTATTACTGTGTAGCGAAAAAGCGATATTTTAAATATTTTTAATTAAAGTTAATTTTAATATATATATATATATATATATATATATATATATATATATATATATATATATTACAATTCCTTTTATTGTACATTTTTCTGTGTCAATTTTAAATCTCCCGTTGAAGCCTGAAGAGCGGGAGCGAAACCGGTTGCTTCACCCGTTTTTTTAATATGTCTCGTAATATCAAGTTTTATACTTTTATTTCGATCATTAAATTTTGTACCTACGAAAATATCTTTAAATATCTGAAAATCAGGTACAGTCATAGTTTAATTTGTAAATTAAATAAAATATTACAGATTAAGGCGAAATTAAGATCTATTGAATATGAAATTAAATTTCTTAAACAATGTATCCGCTTCCAGGTTTGCCCCTCTTTCATTCAGTTCAGAGTGAGGAGGGCTAAGTTACATCCTGGTTGGAAGATTGAGTCTGTCTTCATCAAAGATTGGATTCAACATCTTTCTTCTAGAAGCCTTGGCCTTAAGCGTGATTACAGGAGATTACTATGTTCTCATATGAATTCAGTTTCATTTTTTGATTAGATTAGGTTCTCTAGGTTTTTGGGATCGGTCCATTAGCGGCAGTGTGTTTAAATTGTCTACAAAGCAAGATGTCAAGTTGAAAAGTTTGGTTCAGAAGAAATACGGAGTCACATCTGAACCTAATTTAACTAATATTATTAATCTGTCCACGCATGAACTGAGTTAGAATCTTTTGTTCTTTCTCACGGGATGGACTTCTCCATTCCACCCTCTATGCCTGACAAGGAGAAGATTTTTTCCGAGTTTGAGGTTTTCTATGCTCAGTTGGCAAGACTCTCTCCTACCTCTGTCGACGCGGTGACTAATTTGAAAGCCCAGTTGAATAATTTCGCACACACTTTTTCCTGCTCCTCTGTTGCAACTGCTGAATCCAAATGGAAAGCAGAACATCAGAGTGTTGTTAATTCCCTGGGGAATAATTATAACTTGATAATTTCCAGACCAGATAAAGGTGCTGGTGTAGTTATTTTAGATCGAGCTGACTATATAACTAAAATGTCTTCTATCTTAGAAGATACTTCAAAATTTACTAAACTTGGTTCTGCTGACACCTGTGATGGAACCTCCTCAGGTGAAGCGAAATTTCAAAAATTACTTCTAAAGTGGGTAAAGTCAGGGCTACTTTCAAAAGAAATTGCCAACGAAATCCGTCCTTCTGGTTCGATTCGTCCCCGATTATATGGTCTCCCGAAAATCCATAAAGAAGGTGTACCTTTACGACCGATTTTATCTATGATCGGTTCAGCCCAACACAAGGTAGCCCAATGGCTGTCCACACTTTTGGATCCTGTGTTGCAGTGCCTGGATGGATTTTGTATAAAGGATTCCTTTTCCTTCGTCGACCGCGTTCAAAATTTGTCTTCTTCTGGTAAGTTCATCTGCTCTTTCGATGTCTGCTCCCTGTATACTTGTGTCCCTCTAATGGAAACCATTGATATTTGCTGCGATTTTCTCTCTCGCAGTTCATTGACTCCAGCTAGTTTTCCTGAGTCAATATTTCGGGAATTGATGAAATTTGCCACGTCCTCCGTCGAATTTAGTTTCAACAACACCATGTACCGACAGATTGACGGAGTTGCCATGGGCTCGCCTTTGGGTCCAGCGCTTGCCAACATATTTGTTGGCTTTCAGGAAGAAAAGATACGAAAGAATCCACTTTGTCCTCAAATGTACTGTCGGTACGTTGATGACACCTTTTGTTTATTTAACGGTGAAGTTGAGGCCGACCAGTTTCTTTCGTTTTTAAATGGTATCCATCCGGCACTGAGGTTCACTATTGAAAAAGAGTCCAATCATCAATTGGCCTTTTTGGATGGATTAGTACATCGCACATTAACAGGTTTTCTTACTTCCGTTTATAGAAAACCTACTTTCGCTTGGTTGTACACGCGTTGGGACTCTTTTTGTCCCACTAAGCGCAAGATCAACATTATTAAAACCCTCCTACATAGAGCATTAAAGATCTGCTCTGAGCCTTTCTTGAACGACGAAATCGA